TTGTAATATTTCTTGTAATTCTTCTGAGAATTATGATATTAATGATTTGATATATAATAGTAGTGATAATGATAATAGAAATAGAAATTCTTTTTATAATAATATTAATGATATAATATCAATGAAGATAATTATAATGATAAGGCTGATAATGATAATTATCCTAGTAATAGTGATAGTGATAGAAATGATAAGGATAATAATGATGATAATGATGATGATGATTATTATTATTGTTATTATTATTATTGTTATTGTTATTGTTATTGTTATTATTATTATTGTTATTGTTATTGTTATTGTTATTGTTATAATTACTATAGTTGTTCTTGTAACTACTTTTATGATTATACTTTTATGAAGATATATCATTTTTTTTGTAATATTTCTTGTAGTTCTTCTGAGAATTATGATATTAATGATTTGATATATAATAATTGTGATAATGATAATAGAAATAGAAATTCTTTTTATAATAATATTAATGATATAATATCAATGAAGATAATTATAATGATAAGGCTGATAATGATTATTATCCTAGTAATAGTGATACTGATAGAAATGATAAGGATAATAATGATTGATTATGAAGAAGATAATGATAATAAATAGCAATAATGATAATGATTGAAGATAATAATGAAAATGATTACTGTACTAATAGTAATCACTTTTTGTTATTATTTTTGGTATATTTATTGTTATGTTGTGATTATTATTATTTTTTTATTATTACTATTACTATAGATATTCCTTTTTTTTTTTTTTTTTTTTTTATTATGATGTTTATTATTATTATCACAATTATGGTAATGTTGATAATGATAATGATGATGATGATTATTATTATTGTTATTATTATTATTGTTATTATTATTATTGTTATTGTTATTGTTATTATTATTGTTATTATTATTATTATCATTATTATTATTAATGTTTTTATTGTTATTTTTATAATTATTGTTATTATTATTATTATTATTATTATTATTATTATTATTATTACTACTATTACCATTACCATATTAATATTACCATTATTACCATCATTTTTCTCTTGCTAGGGAAAGAGAAAAACGCGATGAGTTCCTGAGGCAAGAGGAAGTTACGTTAGAGAGAGAGAAGCTTAGACTCCATGAAATTACCCAACGGAGGCTAAGACTGAAAGATTTAAGGCAACGGAAAGAGTTAGAGTGAGTGTTCTTCTTTTGTGAGGACCTTTGATTTTATGTTTTAATTTGTAATGTTTTGACTTCATCCTTGTATTTTATTTCATTGATATCATGATTATATTTGTACCTTCAAAAGAGATTAAGCATAAACTATTATTTATTATAATCATTATTTAGTATCGTATTCATTTACTCTTTATATAATTTTCAACATTTTCCTTTTTTAGCTGTGCCTGGTATGAAGGTCATTAATACCATCATTTCCCTCTTCATCATCCTTATCTTTATTTTTCTTTCTTTCTTTCTGTCTTTTTTTTTTTCTTCTTTCTTTTTCTTTATCTGGTAATCATCTCAGTGATATCTGATCATCTATATAATCATAAGTTATGATAAATCATAATCTAAAAGAAAAAATCTACTCCCAGGTTGTTTTGGGCCAGACAGTATCAACTGAAACTAAAGAAAAAGGCGGCAGACATCCAACAGGAACTCCTTGAGGATGAGAATATCATAGAGGACATCTTAAGAGGGCTTCCAGAAGATGAGGATGAGCAGGTGATTGCATTTGTCTGTTTTGTCTTTATTTTACCATATACCTATTTCTTGTTTTTTTATATGGATGTATTTACATATATGTTTCAGCCATATGTATGCTTGTATGTGTTTGTTCATCTTTCTTTTTCTTTTTTCTTTCATTTTTTTTTCTTTTCAACTTTACTAACTGGTGACTACATTTTTAACATTCTTAAATGTGTTTTCCCAAGTCTATTTGCTTAAATGATTCACTTTAGTTTTTAATGTAATAATGATAAGAAAAATCCCTTTATTGGTATTGTAAATCTTATTACACTTGATATTTAACATGGTCTTCCTTTTACATCATAGAGCTTTCATGCTTTATTAAGATACTCTTCAGAAATGAGTTGTAGACACACATATCCCTATATAAAAACACATACGCACTCTTTTGCTAGATGAAGCATCGAAGAAGCGAGGCTGAATGGATGAAGACTGTGCTGGGAGAACAGAGGAAGTTGGAGAGCATGCGTGAGAAAGAGTACGAGCTGCTGTTTAGGTGAGTGACTGGAAAATCTAAAAGGTTTATAGAGATTCCTTTGGTTTCCAAGAATATTAAACTTTTATATGAATATTCTGTTGGGTAATTTTTCAGTCTTTTATCCTCTCCTTAATTTTTCTTACCAGCGAGGAAGCAGAGTCAATGTGGAAGAAGAGGCAGGCAGAGTGGGAGAGAGAGCAGCGAGCACGAGACCGACTGATGGGTGAAGTATTACATGGACTTCAACAACAGGTAATCTTTGGAAAAAATGGTAATATGTCATCCTGGTGATGCATATTCTCCCTAAAAGTTAGTGGAATTTAAGATATATGTCAAGTAGATAGTTATTAATTTGATTATATCTCCTCTTGCCTTCTACTTAGTCAATTTTAGGCTAGTATTTTATGTCACTAAAAAAAAGTGTGGATCTTAGCATTTTGTGCAGGATCAACTTATGACAATAAGATCTATTATGCAGCATATTCTTCAAATCATGGAGTGTCTTTGGTAGATGTTTAGAGAATGTGAATTTTGGCCAAGAACCGAAAAAATAAAGTGAAATAGAGAAATAGAGAGGTCCAGTAAAATATTATTTTGAAGTAGTGGTTTTCTTTCCTCTCGTTTTTTGTTTGATTTTAAGGACACTATGATGGAAGTCATAGATTTATCATTAGAATGTAACAAGTAATATGGTCATCAAGAACTACTAATGGAACTTTATAGAGATGAAAATAACAAAGGATAGGAGTTTGTATTCTCCATGTTTGGAAGAAAAGACTAGAGATTTTTTATGTTAGTCATATCGATGCGATGTTATTACTGTTATTATTGTACATCCTCCAGATCCTGTAACGTGTTTCTAAATTGATTCATAGGTTCAAGATCAGCAGTCCAGAAATGTCCGTGAAAGAGAAACACTGGATTCAGAAAAGGCACAAATTCAGAGATCCATAATCGACATACGAGACCAAATGCAAGACCTGGAAAGAGAAGAGAAGGAGAGAAGAGAGAAACATCACACAGTTCAAGTGCAGGTGAGTGAATAGGATAAGTTAGAGCTTTAGAAAATGCATTTGAGTATCAAGATGCCTGGGATATTTACTCCATTTTATTACATTTTAGTACCTCTTAAGGTTAGGGAATGGCAAGTAAGATATAGTAATAGGTTAGATGTAGCATTTTGTGTTATGTATTATGTATTAGTATCTTTATATCATCTTCAGTAATGGGGGAAAACATGTAGATCATTAGCAAGTACTTTAATTGTTTGTCATTTTCATTATTATACATAAATGTGAAATTGCGTTTCTCTACAGCCATCGCAGAGAATGATGCAAGAGGCAGCTACTCTCAGAAGGGATCGAGAGGATGAGGAGAGGAAGCTGCAAGAACACCGCAGGGAAATTTCTCGCCTTGAGCAGCAGCTGCAACAACTTTGGGGTCCACAATATGCTCCACCTGTAAGTTTTTGTTATGTTCACCTATTTAGTCTCTTCAAATATTACTTGTGTTTAATTTTATAGTTATTTTCACATTTATAAGCACAATATGCATAAACACATGCATGTGTGCACGCACACGCACTCACTCACTCACTCACTCACTCACTCACTCACTCACTCACTCATACACACACACACACACACACACACACACACACACACACACACACACACACACACACACACACACACACACACACACACACATACACACAGATAGGTAGATACATAAATAGATAGAAAGATAGACCGATAGGCATAGATATTTCGATATATAATCAAACTTCATCAACCAATTTAAATTTCTTTCCTCTTTGCCCTTTCAGAAATACGGACGTAAGAGATTCGTCTGGTGAAGGAAGAACACTTGTTAGAATGACTCCTCGTCATTCATAACCAATGTGTGATATCTGGTTTGTTTCAAGAGGGAACGAGTTAGTGTCACGTCTGCACGACTCCACATAACTCAACACTCGCAGGGACGATTATCTGGTGCTGCACTACTTAATGTGTATCTTGTCTTTTCTGTTTCATTTATGCTTTTTAAAAGTTTTTATATTGTTTAGGAATACACGTGCATATACGTATGCATTTACATATACATATACACACTTACACTTACACTTAGACTCACACTTGTACTCATACACTGTATAATAAAAAGAAATATTACCATTTTTTTCTGATATTTTCTGATATTTTTCTGATAAGTTTTATTGCTTTTTTTTTTTTTTTTTTTTTTACTTATTATTATTATTATTATTATTATTATTATTATTATCATTGTCATTATTTTTATCATTCATATTCATATTCTTATTGTTATTATTTTTCTGTCATTATTATTATTATTATTATTATTATTATTATTATTATTATTATTGTCATCTTTATCAATATTGTTTTTATTATTATTTTAGTTTGATTTTTTTTTTTGTTTATGAAAAGAATAAAAGTAAATATGCAGTTACATACCTTAGGGGCCAAAGAAATTACACAAAGCAGTTGGCTGTGTTTTGATACTAATATTTTAATAGCTGTATTTTTTAATGAATAGCAATATGACCATATATGAATATATTTGATATTTTCTAACTATTTCCAAATAAATGTGTAAGTCTTTTGATATTAAAGAAGTTATTTTGTAGTTTGTTAAACGAAAAACTTCATAAACTTGTTGGAGTTTTAACCTTCCTGTAAAATGAATCTATAATATGTTGATTTTATAATAAAGAGATCACTTTCAAGAGATTCATGTTTGTA